CATTATTGTTTTCTTAAAAACATATAAAATCGTATTATAACATCGACAGAGACAAAGAATAAAATAAAATATTAAAATCGAAATATATCTCGGTACATTGCACGAGAACCATTCTGGTTATTCTAAAAAAATAATTTAAAAACTTAATCACATAGTGTCTTGGGGTTTTTTTTTATACTTTTCTTTTTCAAACAAAACTAAACCTGGATTCATTCTCGTACTAACTATTTACGAGTAACCACCGGAAAAAGTCTCGAGCTGGTGGCGTGGCGGGAATTGGCCCCAGGCATACCCTGGGATTTTTCAAAATCGGCATTTGTGCTGCGATTGCGAATAAGAAAGAAGATTCGGAATAGAACCCTCGCCAGTCGTCCCCCTCATCTTGGCTTGTGTTGTTGCTGCTCTGCTCACCTCTCGAACTTGGTAAGTCGATATTTTAGGGTTCAGTTTCAGTAAACCTCAAATCCCCTTATTGGCATGTTTGAAAAGTGAAATATGCTTCTTAGCTTCTGTTATCTTGATTGCTCCTGCTTGTAGTTCTCTTAAGTGTTTGGATTATTGGATTTGAGTTTGATATTTTAAATATTTAACCTTTTTAGCTTTTGTTATGCTGAAATGCTCCTTCCTTCTGTTAAGACTATTTGTTGATTTGTTTGAAAGAGTTAAAAACCGGATGTATTTGTTTGAAAGTGCTTTCAAGTGTTGCATGTTTCTGTTCTGGTGAAGTGCTTCTGCCTTCTAATTGAAAACCTTAAAGTTAGGATATTTGTTTAATAGTGTAACCATTGAATGCTTGATGTTGAAGTTGAATCTTGAATGCTTCTGTCAAATATTGCTGGAATGTTTGACAATATGTACAATTTTCAGATTGTTGGGATGTTTTGACAATTGATGATGTAGTGGAATTGTTGGACTTTTGTAATGTATTTACTTTTGGATTGGACATTACTATCATTGTAATATCTTTAAATGATTATTTTGTTTTTTTATTTAAGAGGATCACCCTGGTTATATTCCTGGCCCTTCCCGTGGGGAAAAGACGTAGTTATGAATGTTTCCACCGAGATCAAGATGCGTCTTCTTCAACATTTCACCTCCTTTAATCAGCTAAAACATGTCCATGCTCGCCTCCTTCGGTTCGATCTCCTCAATGACAATTACCTCCTCAATATGCTTCTACGGTTCAGCTTCAATTTTGATGGCAACACAAGTTATTCTCAACTCCTTTTCACTCAAACCCAGCAACCCAATATTTATGTCTGGAATACCTTCATCCGTGGCCTTGTTTCCCATGATCACTTCCATGAATCCATCAGATGGTTCTATTCCATGCGTCAAATGGGTTTCTTACCCAACCACTTCACTTTCCCTTTCGTCTTGAAAGCATGCACCAGGGTTTTGGATTTGAGATTGGGAGTGGAGCTGCATACAGTCATGGTGAAAGTGGGTTACGATTGGGATGTCTTTGTTAAGACTGGGTTGGTTTGCTTTTATGCAAAATGCGGGCGTTTGGATGATGCATGCAAGGTGTTTGATGATATCCCTGAGAAGAATGCTGTTTCATCGACTGCTATAATTAGTGGGTATATTGAGGCAGGGAAGTTCATAGAAGCTATTGATATATTTAAGAGGTTATTGGTAATGAATTTGAGGCCTGATAGTTTTACACTTGTGAGGATTTTGTCAGCTTGTTCTCAGTTAGGGGATTTGAGAACCGCAGAATGGTTAGATGGATGCATAACCAATCTTGGCATAGGAAGGAATATCTTCTTGGGCACTGCGTTAGTGGATACTTATGCAAAATGTGGAAGCATGGAGAGAGCTCTTGTGACGTTTGATCAGATGCTTGAAAAGGATGCAGTTACTTGGGGTGCTATGATACAGGGCTATGCTTCAAATGGGAAACCAAAAGAAGCTTTGGACATCTTTTACAGAATGAAGACTGAAAAACTAAAACCTGATTGCTATACCATAGTTGGCGTTCTTTCTGCTTGTTCAAGCTTGGGAGCTCTTGAATTGGGGGAGTGGGCACGTGGCTTGGTTGATAAAAACGAGTTCTTGTATAACCCTGTCGTGGGTACAGCATTGATTGATATGTATGCAAAATGTGGAAAAATCGGTCATGCATGGAGAGTATTTAAAGAGATGAAGGAGAAGGATCTTATTGTTTGGAATGCAGCCATAACCGGTCTTGGGATGAGTGGTCATGCCAAACTTGTGTTTGGTCTTTTTGGACAGCTAGAGAAATTAGGGATGCACCCTGATGGTAAGACCTTTATGGGTGTGCTCTGTGGGTGTACCCATGCAGGTCTTGTTGATGATGGTCGGCAGTATTTCAATAGTATGAAGCGTGTGTTTTCATTAACTCCTTCAATTGAACATTATGGGTGCATGGTAGATCTCTTTGGCCGAGCTGGGTTATTAAATGAAGCTCATCTTTTGATCAAAGGTATGCCAATGGAGCCTAATGCAATTGTTTGGGGAGCTCTGTTGAGTGGATGTAGATTACATCGGGATACCCAATTAGCTGAATATGTTTTGAAGAGGTTAATTAAATTAGAACCTTGGAATTCAGGAAACTATGTACTCTTATCTAATATATTCTCAGCTAATCATAAATGGGAAGAAGCAGTGAAAATAAGGTCCACAATGAGTCATGGAGGCATTCAAAAGATACCAGGATGTTGTTGGATAGAAGTCAATGGCTTAGTTCACGAGTTCCTTGTTGGAGACAAATCTCATCCTATGTCAGAAAAAATTTATACTAAGCTCAGCGAACTGACCAACAAATCAAAACAAATGGGCTATGTGCCAACAACAGAGTTTGTGCTATTTGATGTTGAGGATGAGGAGAAAGAACATTTCCTGGGTTGTCACAGCGAGAAGTTAGCTATTGCATTTGGTCTAATCAGCACCAAATCCAGTGACGTGATTCGAGTAGTAAAAAATATTCGCATCTGTGGTGACTGCCACATGGCCATTAAGCTCTTCTCGAAAATTACAGGTAGAGAGATAGTTTTACGTGATAATAATCGTTTCCATTCCTTTATAGATGGTTCATGTTCGTGTGGTGATTACTGGTGACACAAGGATCACTAGAGTCAAAGCTGTGTCAAAAATAGAGGTAAATGTATTTTGACCTTGACATGTATCTTTTTCGTATTACTGTATACATGTATAAGATATAGGTAAAATGCACAAACTCATATCTAATCTCGATATAGATGCACACTCATGTGCTTGTAATACTCGTATATAAGAAAGGTTATTTTTCCAACCTTTTGGTTGGCAAGTAAAGCAAGAACCAAATTTACTCCCATCTTTAGATACACTCACCCACCCAATTCAATCACTCAAAATGGTAAATTACATGAAAAATGAGATATGGTTCAACATTTTGTCTACATCCACCGTCTTTCCTAGCACTTTTTTATTCTTATGAATTCAGGTAGTACATGCATGGAAAGAAAACTGGCTCCTAGTATAGGAGGAAAATGAGAGAGAAAATGGACAAGTAAAAAATGGTTGTCCTAACTATGAAACCAAACCAACAATAATGCACTTGGAGACTGATTGGGTAACCAAGAAATCATGTTGTCCATCCATATATACCCCAGAAAATAAAGAATGCCACCTAGCAGTGAGAACTGCTCCTCTTAGCTACTAGGCATGGAGGCCAGGCCACATGACACAACCACCTTGGTTTTTCAACACAACACTTCCGTTGATGTTATACATCCAAATAAAACTTCACATCCAGCACTACTCTAACACATACAACTATCCCTGAGGCTTGATGTGGGGTTGCAGAAGTAGAAGATGGATAAAACCAATTTATGCGTATCAAAATTTGATTGGGATAATAGAACAGGTTTCTTAGTTTGAACTTCTTTTCTTGGCTTGGCCCATGTATGTATATGTTTATATCATTCTCAGAATGGTTTTGAACCTTATTTGTACTAGATTAGTAGCCTTTCCCTCCTGCACACTCAGCACGCGCTGAATTAGTACATGTTATTGGAGTGGCAGAGTTTTCATGTCATTGTGGATCTAACATCAGAATCTTGTATCTCCAATTGATTTATGTCTCATATAGGTGGGAAACAAGTTTCTGTAACGATTTATCAATAATACATGTTATCGGTATATGTAAAGTGTGAATTGTAGGCATACGTTTGTGCCCCCAAGAATTGGACCAAAAGAATGTTGTACTTGGATTCATCTGCGATGATTTTAGTTGGTGACACATTTTTGCTTACCTTGAAAGAACACCAGTTGACTGATTCAATATTTCAAAGCCATTAATCAACATTTCCAAACCATTGGGCCAAAAGAGTGTTGTGTCAAGAGTTCTGCTACTGGCATAAAGAAATGCAAATTCAACACCAATTGCAACAGTAGAACAAGGTATTGTTGCTTCTTCCTTTTTAACTGATATGGAAACCATCTGGTTGAAGTAAAAGTTGTACTGATATGGAAACCAATGCTATTTTTTGTTTAGTAGTAGGTTATGGATTTAAATTAAAACTCATTTAAGGTCGTATACTAATGATTCTGTTTATCATATTATAAATTATGTTATATAAATATCTGTAAAAAAATGACGAATAGACATGGGTCACTTGGGTATATAACCTTAAAGTAGATTTTAATTAAATTCATGACTTTTTTGTCCTATTATAGGAAAAAATGGCTTCATACTCGTAAGAAGGTCTCAGATTTAATTAAAATCTTATTTAAGGTTATATACCTAAATATACGGAATATGTAAACAAATAAGGTTGTTAGAAATGTATTGAAATAGTGGGTAGTCTTGAATTTTGTTGTTGTTTGAACATGGGTATTAGGTAGTGTTTGGTTCATTGGAATCTGACGGAATTGGAAGAAACTGAAATAGTCAATTCCATTGAACAAATTCGATTCATGCGTTTAGTTCATTCGGTGAGTTATATTAAAGAATTTGAAATCCACATGGTGGAATGTGAATTCCTTGGGTTCTAGCAAGGAATTTCATTTTTTTTTTATCATCTTTTAAGAAAAAACTATTATCTATATTATATTATAAAGTATTTAACAAAAACTCTTAAAAACCATTTTTTTTATGCATGAAGTATTGTTTATTGATGCATATTACTTAATATTCAATATTATAAGTAAATTATGCGTAAGTATAACTTATTCAAACTCTATCTTTGAATTCGTGTAATTAACTGTAGATAAACATTTCATTTTAAATATAAAAAATTAAAATATAATTAGGATAATCATTAAGTTTTAATAGAATATTTTGTTGTCTTTCTTATAAAAATTATATTATTAAATAAAAATAAATAACTTTGTTATTAAACCTAAATTAAATTATAATAAAAAATTGAATTAGAAATTACATGAAAAATGAAAACTTTTAAATAATTAATTTAATACTAATATCATACTTTTTTCTTTTTCAAATTTATATTTTATTTAAAAATAAAAATATTATTGTTTTCTAAAAACCACATAAAACCGTGTTATATCGGCAGAGAAAATGAATAAAATGAAACACTAAAATTAAGATATCTCGCTGAATTGTGCGAGTACCATTCTAGTACTCTTATAGTTACTTCATTATATCCCATCCCACCATGATGGATGCCACTGTCGCCATCGCGATCATCGTCATTATCATTGTCGCCTTCACCCCACCACTTTTGTCGTCACTACGACCACCGTCAAAATTATAACATTTAATTATAATTTTCTTAATCTTTCATATAATATCTGTTACATATAATATTTGTTACTATATTTATTTTAGCCGTGATATTATATATTTATAGCAACATTATTTTCGTATTAACCGTGTCCTTAACTATACTCGTAACAACACAAATTTCATATTAACCGTGACAAAAACATGACATATAGCTATACTTAATTATTAGACCCATTAGTACTAGTTCTTTTGTCGAACAAAATAATAAAAAATTTGGCCAATTGTAGTTACGTTTAAATTTCAGAACCGTTGCTATTTGTTATTTTTAGTCACACAAAATAATAAAAACCGTGGCCATAAACTACTAGTCACACAAATCAAATCATTACAACATTGGCTATTAGTTACGTTTTAGTCCACATGGATTTATTTTGATCGGTGGCCTTGTAGCCACCAAGATTTCATATTAACCGTGAGTCCGTGACCCATGAGTACTAGTTTTTTTTCCATACAAAATAATAAAATCGTGACCAATTCAACACATATAGTTACGCTTAATTTTAGAACCGTTGCTATTTGTTATCTTTTAGTCGCACAAAGAATAATAAAAACCATGGCCATAAACTACTAGTCACACAAATTGAATCGTTATTGTCGTGGCTATTAGTTATGTTTTAGTCAAATAGATTTATTATTGTATGTGGCCTTATGGCCACCTAAGAGAGTGTTTGGTTCACAAAATGAAATTTGTTGGAATTGGAATCCATCAGAGAAATTTGACTTTGAAGGAATTAGAATAGAATTTGACCACGCATTTGGTTAGTAGGAATTGGAATAAAAATCTCTCAATAGAATTGGAACAATCATCTTTGTTTGGACTATCTACCCCATAGCCCCGTCCATACCCTACCAACCACCATGTCACTACTGTCATCACAACTATCCCTACGCCCCACCACTCCTGCCCCATCCCTGCTCCCCAGGTGGGGGGTTGTTGGAGGTAGGCAAGTTGGGGCAAGGCAGTATCGGTGGGACCGGAGTGGGGCAGTGGGTGGTAGCTGTGATAACTACAATGGTAGGATGGTGGCTAGTGGTAGGATGGTGGCTAATGGTAGGTTGGAGTAGGGTAAGGTGGGGTGAGGGTCGGAGCCGGGGCGGGACAGTGGGATGGGTAGGGGTAGGTGGCGAGGTGGTAGCTGTAACGATGAAAGTGGTGGGATAATGGTCGGGTGGCTGGGGCCTGAGAGTGGGTGGGTATGACGACAACAATAATGTCATGGTGTTTAGTGGTGGGTTGGGGTAGGGTGGGGTGTGGGTGAATGGCAGTTGTGAAGGCGACAATAGTGGTATGGGGTTAGGTTAGGGGCGAGGTGGGTGGTGGGGATGGGTGGCAGTTGTGATGACAACAGTGGTGGGATGGTGGTCGGGTGGGTGGGGTGGGTGGATATGACAGCGACAGTAGTGGCATAGTGGTTAGTGGTGGTTTGGGGTGGGGTGAGTGGCAGTTGTGACAGCGACAATAATGGTGTGGTGTTGGGGGTTGGGTTAGGGGCGCGACAGTAACGGTAGTAGCATGATCGTAGTAGAGATGTGCAGTGAGTGACCGAGGGGTGGGCAGATGTGATGACAACAATAGTGGCATGGTGGTTAGTAGTGGTGGTGTAGCATGGGTGGGTGGGTGGGTTGGGTGGCAACAACAGTAGTGGTCTGGTGCTGAGGGTGGGGCATGACGAACAATAGTAGCATGGTCGTGTTGGATGCTAATGGAATTCAATTCCTTCCATTATGCCAAAGAATGATGAATTCATTAAAATCTGTGTAATTCAATGGAATTTGAAGGATTCCATCCATTTCAAGAAACGAACTAAACAAAGAAATTGTAATTTTATCAAAGGAATATGTTATTCCAATTCTATCAAATTCATTTGAATTCCGCAAACCAAACGGCCCCTAAATTTCATATTAACCATGGTCAACTCATTACATACTATCACATTCAATTTTTTGAACCCGGTTACCTTTGGGTCACATAAAATAATTAAAGCATGGCCAATTCAAGACATTGAATTCTTGTCTTGTAATAGGAATAAATGTAAGGCAATGCAAACAAAAGTTCCTAGATTTATGGAGATATAGAACAACAGTTACACTTCAATTTTGAAATTGTGTCTATTAATTAACTTTTAGTAATGCAAAATAATAAAAAATTGTGGTCCTAAATACTTTATTAGTCACACGAATTTAATCGTGACTATTGACTACCTTTTGATCACATAGATTTAATTTAACCATGATCTTACATATACTTATAACCACACAAATGACATATTGACCGTGACCAAATCATCACATATAATAAAAAAAAACCATGGCTACTAGTTACTTTTTTGTCACACATAATAAAAAAACCATAGCCATAAACATGGTGAATTTTGGCCATGTTTAACATATTTTCACGACTATGAATATTTTTTTTTGCCAAAAAAATTTGATTTCATGTGGCCATATGTCTGTCTATGGCCATAAACAATAACCGTCACAACATAAAG